TCCATCTTTTTAAGCACTTGCCTCGCACACCACTACTTATACTGTTTAAGTTAGGCCCAAGTCATTTTGTGCATCTCTAATCATAACACCCGAAAAAAGTACATAGAATTAGATGTAATTTAAAATAGTTGAGGGCTAAAGTTGGAAGAGGAAATATAGGTCGGTTGCCAAAGTGAAAATTTAAATAAGAAAAAAAGAAAGAGAAAGAAAGAAGGGAATATATGAAATGATTTGTACTTTAACTGTAGTGTGTAGTTATATTTCGAATATGACTTATTAAAGTAATTAACTTTTCGGTTTGTTCATAGGGTAACTTTTTTTTTCTGTACACATCTAGGTAACAAACTTTTTAGAAGTGTTCACATATGACCATTATGACCTGCTGTAGCAGGTTACATCCGGTCATAATAGTCATATGTGAACACTTTCAACAAGTTCGTTATTTAGATGTGTATAAAAAAATAGTTATCCAAATATGAACAAAACGAAAAGTAAGAGTAAATTACATGAATGGTCCCTATGGTTTGGGGGATTTGTGTGTTTGATCCCTAACTTTTTTTTTAACTCGTATGGTCCCTACCGTTTATTTTTGTTGCGCGCTTGGTCCCTGTCTTACGTAAAAAGACTAGACAAAACTGTAAAAATGGTCCCTGTGGTATGCATTTTTTCTGAGGTTTAGTCCAAATGTCGACTTTTTTTGGCTTCGTGGTCATTTTGAGCTAGTTTCGTTGCGGATTTGGTCCCTCAGTAAATTGAAATGACTGTAATACCCTTAAGGTATTTATTTTTCATTTTCTTTCATTTTTATTTAAATCTAATAGTTATTTATTTATTTTAATAATTATTTTAATAATAAAAAAGAAGGGCCCACTTCTCTCTCTCTCTCTCTCTCTCTCTCTCTCTCTCTCTCTCTCTCTCTCTCTCTCTCTCTCTCTCTCTCTCTCTCTCTCTCTCTCTCTCTCTCTCTCTCTCTCTCTCTCTCCATTGCTTCGATCTTTCCTTTGAATATCATAGATGCTTCTGAATCAATAAACTCTAACGCCACAAATAATCTGCAAGGTATTTGATTTTAATGTCCATTGTAATCATATCATGCTAAAGATAAATAACAACACATTCAATTAAAAGGATTTGAAGGCCTATGCGTTAACCTATTTGAAGGCCGGTATGGAAACTGGATTACATCCAAAACGAGACTATTTAGCTAAAAATGATGAAGTCGTCTGAATCTCCCACTTCCCATTCTCTCCGGCCTCCCTTCAAGCCCTACGACCAAATATTCTTTACCTCCGTCCCCATCTATGAATGCCTCCTCATTCCCACCGTCAAACGCCTCACCTACCACCCCACCTAAATCACAATCCTCCAATATATCAAAACTAAGATTTTCTTCTCGATCTTATCCATAATCGTCTCAGCCCAAGTAGAATCTAGAGAATCAGAATCGCAACATAAAATAAACTAATCGATTCTAACGGAGGAGAAGAGGCAACATTCATACCTAAATCTGCAATCCAAAATCCAAAATCATGAACAATATTGTGGTCGTTTTGGGGGTCGATTCTAATGCAGGAGATGAGGCTTTGTGCATCTTCCGATGAAGAAAAACCTATGACAAGACTTGGAGATGAGCCTGTTCTTGAGTTGCGGTGAGATACAACAAAAGTTCCAGGAGAAAACAAGCACATACGCCGACGATACTATTGTGAGATTGGTGTAATGCTTCTTACACCTCATCTATGGATATTAATTTTGTAATCGCCATAAAAAACCCATACCCCATTTGACCTTAAATCTTTGCAGTTGATATAAACAGAAGGGAATCATTTTATGTTGTCTTGTGTGTGGTTTTTGTTTCATATCTACCATTCTCCATCTTTGTTTCTGACATGGAACTAAGAACATACCCACCTCTGACTTCGTTTATGTGTGTGTTGTGTTCTTAACTCACTGAACAATGTTCATCATAATGAGAAAGTGGGTTATGAATTCAGAGAGAGAGAGAGAGAGAGATGGACTTTTTTTTAAGAAAATGAAAAATATAAATCATAAGGGTATAATCGTTTTTTTAAATCTATAGGGATCGTAACCAATAAAAAGAACCGATTTTAAACCATTAATACACAACCATAACTTTTTAAATTAAAATCATAAAATTTTGCGGAGGACCATTTTTGCAATTTTGTTGGTAGTAATTAACCTTAAAAAAAAAAAAAAAAAAAAAACACCGTCACACGTCACATGACGGAAATAATAGTTTGACGTGGCGTGAAAACTTTTATTTTTTTGAAATCCTTAAAAGGCGGCAATTAGTGCGCGTGAACCCTCGTGTCCACACGTACCAGATTATTGCAACAAATAAATTTTCACAATTATGAACTAAATCTTTCAAAAGCTATCCTCCTACTTTATCAAAACGTCAAACCACATCCCTGGTTTTTACTGCTCTTGTTCTTTTGGCCCACTCGTGTACGAAAACAATTTAGAGTTGTCTCTTTCTCTTTAATTGCTTTGCACTTTCAACTTGATAATTTGAAATTAGGCTTTTGACACTTGTAATAAATAATGAAATATAGGAATCATTTGAGTTTGAATTTATGATATACGACTATTTTTTTCCGTGTTTCACTTGACACCTGTACATGATAATTCTTAATTGTCGTATTATTTTTCTAATACAGTTCTAAACAAATAAAATACAATAAATGTTGTCAATAATAGCCATATGGTAAAGACAAATATGTTGGTCTATTTTGTTTAACAATTAGGATGAAATACCATTATTATTATTTTTTGTCTAGGTGAATAGTTATTCATCAAATTTACTATTAAATCACCAAATTTTGTTTCACATATAAATTCTTAAATAGACTTTTAATCAGGTAAGAAGCTAAATACTAGTGAGAAATGTAAGAAATAATCACGACTATTGGGTCAAATTTATCCGACGATCGTGATTTTTACAAGATCAACCGTGTTGTATACACATGTAATCGCCTATTTAATCTAGGCCACTGATTAAATAGAGAGAGAGAGAGAGAAAGAGAGAGAGGAGGTGGGCCCTCTCATTGTTTAGATATTAAAATGAATAAATTATTAATAAACTTTAAAGAAATGAATTTAAAAATAGAAAATAAATACCGAAGGGTATTAGAGTCATTGCAGTTTTATAGAGGGACCAAATCCACAATGAAACTAGCTCAAAAGGACCATGAAACGAAAAAAGTCGAGGTTTGGACTAAACCTCAGAAAAAATGCATACTACAGGGACCACTTTTGCAATTTTGTCAAAAGACTATTGTGCCCTTATTAATTTATTTATTAATTAATTTTCTTTTTTATGTATTTATTTTTTATATATTTAAAAAAAATTAATAGACACCACATATCTATATCTCCTCACTCTAAACCTGAAACCACATTTAAGAAATTTAATGTGGGTCCCACTGGTCACCATTCCATCTCTCATCCTCCCCAACTTCTCTTTATCGAATTTTCCACCACTACAACCCAATGCATCACAACTTCTATTTCTTTTCCATATTTTGTGGTGTTGGTTCGCCGGAGTTGAAGGATCGAAAAAAGAAGGGATGATGAAGATGTCGATGTCACTAAAGATGAAAAGAAAATAGAAGTTGGGGAGGAAAAGAAATGGGATGGTGACCGGTGGGACCCAGATTAAAATTTTCAAATGTGGTTTCAGGTTTAGGGTGAGGAGATACAGATGTGTGGTCTATTAATTTTTTTAAATATATAAAAATGAATACATAAATAAGAAAATTAATTAAAAAATAAATTAATAAGGGCACAATAGTCTTTTTAGGTAAGAGATGGACCAAACGCGCAACAAAATTAAACAGTAAGAACCATCTGAGTTAAAAAAAAAGTTAGAGACCAAACGCACAAATTCCCCCAAACCACAAGGACCATTCGTGTAATTTACTCTTACTTTTCGTTTTGTTCATGTTTGGATAACTTTTGTTTTGTACACACTTAGGTAACGAATTTGTTGAAAGTGTTTACATATGATCATTGTAACCGGATGTAACCTGCAACAACAGGTCATAATGGTCATATGTAAACACTTCCAAAAAGTTCGTTACCTAGATGTGTACAAAAAATAATAATAAAATAATTACCTAGATGTGATCAATCCGAAAAATTAATTATCTTAATAAGTCATATTCCCTATTTCCTTGTATCCTATGTTTTGTGCATCTCTAATCGTAACACCCAGGAAAAAAGCACTGGAATTAGATGTAAATCCCAATAGTTGAGGGCTAAACTTGGAAGAGGAAATAAAGGTGGGGTGCAAAAGTGAAAATTATAAAAAACTAAAGAAGAGAATATAGGAAATCGATTTGTACTCTAATTGTAATATATCAGTTATATTTCCTTGTATTGTAAGTTTTGAATTGTGAATTTGTGATAAACGATGAGAGATTAAATCATATTTGGAAATATCAGGAGATAAAGATATACATACAAAGAGATATAAATACGAATCCCTAATCTTATATATACCAACAATCTTAAATAGCCGTATCGTACTCCTATCGCACAAAGACTCAGAAGAACGAAGAGGAAACAAGAAACTTAAGGTTAAGTTTCAGTATCAGGTAATCTCAACTTTACATCTTCGAATGTTTACGTTCTTTTAAGAATTATGAATATAGTATGTTCTTTTAAGAATTATGAATGTAGGATAAAAAGTTTTGACTATGTTTCGTAGATTGAGACTACGACCAAACCCCAAAGAAAACATAGAAAACATAAAAGATTTACGAAAAATATAAAGAAGATTTTTGCCATTGAGTTGAAGTTAACAATCAAACGGGTCAATGTGTATATACAGAAGAAGAGCAAAATATCTATATATATTATAAATTATACGACGTAATAGAAGCTTCAGTTGTGTAGGGTTGATTGTGTATTATGTTGATTTTTAACTAATATATTTTGATTTTTGCATATAGTTTAGTATTTTTTACAACAAAAAAATGGGTGTGAAAGTTTCAAGACTCCTAACAAGACAACAAAAGAAAAGGCGGGTGGTGGTGGTTGGTGGTGGTAGCTATGAGCTTGATATGTCTTATATCACAAATCGCATTTTAGCAATGTCATTTCCAGCCGAGCTAATGAGAGCTATGTATCAAAATCCTATGATACAAGTCAAGGCGTTTTTGCAAAAAAAGCATCCTCGACATTACAAGGTAAAAAAATTAGTTATTATATTCGATTTATCTTGTTATATTTGGTTGACCATATCATTCGAATGAAAATTTCAGATGAATTTTTTATCTTATATGTAAACAGGAATGTATACACTATTTTATATTATTTAATAATAGTTATAAATTTTATTATTTAGAAAGCATAAAATTAAGCCAAACATTACAATAAAGAAAATATGTGCTGGTTAATTTTGTAAGAAGATTATGATTTTATAATCATCATGAAATTCTTAAAAAAGTTGTCTAATTAAAAATTCTACAAATAAAAAATTGGATTGTATTATAACTTTTCATTCATTCGATTCCATAGAAAAAGAAAACATTATGTTGTGTTTTTTCTAGATTTAGATAGTGTCAATTTTAAGTAACGACTTTACAACGTTTTTACCAATTTATAAAGCCATATTTACTTACCAATTTGTGTAATATTGGTAAAAACTTTTATTTACAGAAACCTGTATTAATTGGTAAGTAAGAAATCAAATTACTGTTTCTTACTTTTTTTTCTACCTTGTAGGTCTATAATTTATGTACAGAGCAAGCTTATGATCCATCTCTTTTTAATAATCTTGTGGAAAGATTTCCGTTTGATGATAATCATGCCCCATCGATACAAATGATCAAGGGATTCTGTGAAAGTGTCCATTCATGGCTTTCAAGTGACCCAAAGAATGTTGTCTTCATCCACTGCATGGTAAATATATTCTCAAAATTCTATACTTCGTGGAATTCTTTATATTCATGTAAATTATTTATTGATATAAAAAACTAAAAAGTAAAGTATTTTTTAAAATTCAACAGGCGGGTAAAGGTCGAATAGGGTTGATGGTATCATGTTACTTGGTTTACGTCCGCATGTTGGCAGAAGAGGCTCTTCCTGTTTATGCAGATAAAGGGTCCACAAATTATCTTCGAGTAAGTTTTATATTTACTTTGTCTTCCAATATTTATGATAATGAAAATCTTCAAGGAAAGTATAACCATATTAAATATGGAAATGGTGGCAGGTGATGACACCAAGCCAACGGCGTTACGTCAACTATTGGCAGAGATCTCTTACCTTTCCAGATGGCTGTTTACCAGAGGTCAGCCTTCCAAAACCATGTAGCAAAGAGCTCAGGCGGATTCGGCTTTTTGACACCAAATCTGTAGAATCGATCTTTTTGTTGTTTCGGAACTGCAAGAGGTTACAGGAGATATATATCGTTCACCGGTGGATGCTTGCCGAAATTTCTGCAGAAAAGTTAGGAAAAACAGTGGTTTTGGGAACTCGGAGATCGAGGAAGAAGAGACACAAAACTGCCTTGACCACTATTTTTGTGATAAAACAGTAAAGGTGTGTGATTACTGATTCAATAAACCTCCGTCATTTATGAAAATCAAGGTTTTTGTAAAATTAATTATTAACGTTGTATATATAATGGTTTGGCAGGTTGCTGGAGATGTGTGTGTGACATTCTATGAAAAGAACATTGGGGGTCGTCTCTTCTATGTTTGCTTTAACACCGGGTTTATTGAAAATGACTTGATACAGGTACTTAATTTAATCGATCTTGTTAGGTTCGAATGTTGGAAATAAATCTATGATTGGTTTTTAATTTTAAGATTTTTGATCTTCTTTTTCAGTTTTCGATAGCAGAATTGGATAAAGTTGGAACTAAGGGCAATTCTATAGCAGGTTCGGAGTTCCGATTGGAGATGCTTTTTAGTCCGGCGAACGATAAACCTAATGACTCATAGCAAAGTAGAGATAGTTTTTGTTTTTTATAATGTTTTCTTTGTCAATTTTTGTTTCTAACTTTTTGGGGTTTTAAAGTTTTAAAGTTAATTTTGCTACATTTTAATGTTTGTGATTCACTTAGTTAATTTGCTGCTATTTGACAAGAAAAATGTAAGCAACGTGACATTTTTGACAATAAATATAAATATATCCGTTTCATGTATATCTTGTGATAAAGTATAGGTGTGGTGTTGTCTTTACATAAATGTGATAAAATATAGGTGTGGTGTTGTCTTTTAAAAAGAAAAGTCATTTGTTGTTTGGAGTTAAAATATCATATTACTTGTTTTTAAAATATCGAATTTACAAAAATCCAATTTTTAATCATTTTTAAAAAATCAATATAATTATATAATTAGTAAATCTAAATTCCATAATATCATCTTTCTCAATTGTTGGAATAGTTTGACTCTGATATCACAAGCCAATGCCATGCATACCTGGAATTTCATAGAAATATATAGAGCCAAATCATATGCAATGGTTGTAGCCTTGTAGGAGCATTTTTCTTTATGCAATAGGAGCTTCTAATGTGTGCTACATTTTGTAATGTTCTTACCTCGGTTCCTCCCCTGGTTAGATTTATCAATAAACTGAAGTAGTACCTTGAGCAATTATTGAATTAATATTATACATAAATTATGGCAAAGTAAAGCTATTCCCTTTTGCCCTTTTTCTTGATATTTTTATACTACATGAATATTCAACAATAATCACCAGGTAGGTTGTTTCTGGAAAAACTCAAGGTCTGCTATATCAGTCTAGGAACGCGTAAACAACTATCTGCGAGCTAAATGGGATAGAAATGTAGAAGAAAAACATCTATACATAAAACACATGATAAACACTGATTTTGAAGGATACACATTAATATTGTATAAGTGTCAATCCTATAAATTTATGTGGTCATATATGCTAATTTTTCTAAGTCTGTTTAATCAATCTCTAATATATTAGTCATAGATGTTTTTTTTTTTTTTTTTTTTTGTAATAGTAGTAGTAGATTTTTTGCTATCTTGTTAAAAAAACATGTTTGAAGTGTCATCTTTTTTACCAACATGCCTTGCTTTTTTCTTTTTAAGATTTGATTTTTTTAATATATATATATATATATATATATATATATATATATATATATAGGTTCAAATGTTTCTAGCAACTATTGTGTTCCTTAATGCACCAATCAGAAATTAGTAAATAATTAAAAAAATAATAAATTAAATAATTAAATATAAGGGTATAATAGTAATCTATACTATAACTAATTATGGTAAAAATACAAAATCAATTAATATCCCCTTAAATTAGGTTATCAGTTTCACAACCCTATAAAACCACAAATCATTCCCCCTCTTTTGCAAAAAACCATCGATCAAAACCCTATGGATACTATCATTGTCTACAGGAGACAAAATCCAAAACAAGAGACGATCGACTAATATTTATTTAAATGGCATCAAACACTTTTTGGGTGTATTCATAAAAGTTTGTGACCAACATAATTTATTATTTCTTCATCAAAGTTTGGCAACGTCATCTCCTTTTGCCGGCACCTTTATCACTGAAGTGTTGGAAATTTAGTATAAATATTTATATTTTACTAACTTTGGACATATATAAATATATACATATGTTGTATATATAACGAACTCTAAGTGGGTTTGTGTTCTCCTCCATGAGGACTTCGAAACGATATATTATATGTCCAAAATAGAGTATAAGTGAATGAGATATCGATACTCAAAGATGGGTATTTGAGAATAAGTTTAGCAAAAGAGAGGAATGTGGGAATGAGTCCCACATTGGTAGAGAGACCAAACTCAACAAGGTTTATAAGCTTCATTGCATGGAAGGCTTACAAGTTTGTGTCTATGGTTATGCTACAATTCCTACCCGCGCGCAGGGGGGGTGCAAATCTTGGTTCCGTAGACCAAAAACACCGAACTCGTGCATGGGTGCGACCTGCGGACACGAATGCAGCTCCGAAAACTCGGGCGCGCGCTACCCTTGTTTTTGCTAAACTTAACAGTTTTGGTCCCTATTTTTGAATTCTGTAACGGATGCATTAATTGCGTAATTAATGACATTTATTGCCATTAAACGCTCAATCAATTAGTGATTTGTTTCCGTTTCAAGATTCAACTATAAAAGAAGACCTTGGCCGTCTCATTCAAACACACGGATGGAAATACTCTTCTTCTTCCTCCTTCTCTGTACTCCTGCTTCCGGCGATTCTTTCAGGCAAGTCGTCATATCCGGCAGTACACAATACTGCTAAGGTTGTTGTACCCTGGGAACAGACGGCGAATCTGTTTAAGGGAATCGAGTCCAACTCGAGCCTCAGCCACATCGTTTGCTGCTAATCTCTTCATTACAGGAACCATTCTTAAGAGGAAAACGAAGACCCTATACTAACAGTCTTAAACAGATTATTCTTTGTTCTAACCATTTCGTTTTTCCTTTTCTTTTATTCTGAATCGATTTTGTATCGACTTTTTCCTGTAATCTATTTAACTGTGGTTACGATTCTTTCAGAATGTCTGGAACTCCCGCTGCTACTGGAACTCCTGCTGCTGGTGCTAACCCTCCTGTGAACCCAAATACACCAGTTCCAAACATCATGGCTAATCATGCTGAGAGACCTGAAAAATTTTCTGGTCTGAACTTCAAGAGGTGGCAACAGAAGATGTTGTTCTACTTGACCACCTTGAACCTGGCTCGATTCCTAACAGAAACTGCTCCTGTAATTGCTGAGGGGCAGGCTGATGCTCAATCTGTGAATGCAGTGGATGCATGGAAGCATTCAGAATTTCTGTGCCGCAACTATGTGTTGAATGGCCTGGCTGATGCACTTTACAATGTTTATTGTAAAGTTGCAACTGCTAAAGAACTATGGGAATCTTTGGAAAGGAAGTATAAGACAGAAGATGTTGGAACTAAGAAGCATGTTGTTGCTAAGTTCTTGGAATACAAAATGGTTGACTCGAAATCTGTTATGAGTCAAGTCCAAGACCTTCAGGTCATCATACATGATAACAATGCAGAAGGGATGGATCTTAATGAATCATTCCAAGTTGCATCAATGGTTGAAAAGTTCCCTCCTGGTTGGATAGACTTCAAAAATTACCTTAAGCATAAGCGAAAGGAGATGTCTGTGGAGGAACTGGTGGTGCGTCTTCGCATTGAAGAAGACAATAGAATGGCCTTGAAGAAAGGCAGTGAAGGTGAATCTTCTAAGGTTCATATGGTGGAAGCTGGTCAAACTTCCAAAAGCAAAGGCAAGGGACCTCACAAAGGGAAAGCAAAGGGCAAAAACCTAGGCCCCAAGGCAGGAACTTTCAAGAAGAAGTTCAAGTGCTACAACTGTGGCCAACCGGGTCACAAGGCTTCGGAGTGCCCTCAACCTAAGAGGGAAAACCGTCAAGCAAACATGGTGAATGATAACATGGAGTTGGTGGCCATGATAACTGATCTCACGGCTATGGTTTCTGAAGTGAATCTCATGAATACAAATTCAAAGGAGTGGTGGATTGACACGGGAGCTACTCGTCATGTGTGTCATGACAAGAGTGTTTTCAACACCTACAAAGAAGTTGAAGATGGTGAAAAGCTCTACATGGGAAATGCAGCTACCGCGGATATCAAAGGTGTTGGTGATGTCATTCTAAAAATGACTTCGGGGAAAGAAGTGAAGCTTAGGGATGTATTGTATGTTCCTGAACTTCGTAAGAATCTAGTGTCGGGTGGTTTGTTGAACCAATTTGGTTTTAAGCTAGTGTTTGAGTCGGACAAGTTTGTTTTGTCCAAGAATGGTATGTTTGTGGGAAAAGGATATGCCTTGAATGGCATGTTCAAATTGAATGTAATGGTGACAAACAAAATGAATAATGAAAGTTCTAGTTCTGCTTATTTGCTTGAGTGTTCAAATGTTTGGCATGGTCGCTTAGGACATGTAAATTACAATTCAATTAAGCGATTAATTAAACTAGAATACATACCAAAACTTAATATTGACTCAAATCACAAATGCCCCACATGTGTTGAAGCCAAACAAACTAGATTGTCTTTCCAAACAATCAAAAGAAACACCGAACCTCTTGATTTAATTCACACTGATGTGTGTGATCTAAAGTCAATTCCTACTCAAGGTGGGAACAAATACTTCATTACATTCATCGATGATAGCACGAAATATTGCTACATATATTTACTTAAGAGTAAAGATGAAGCAATAGACAAGTTTGTCTTGTACAAAAATGAAGTTGAGAATCAACTCAACAAGAGAATTAAAGTGGTTAGAAGTGATAGGGGTGGGGAATATGTTTCTCCATATGCTGATTTTTGTGCTAAAAATGGAATTCGTCATGAATTCACATCACCCTATTCACCTCAATCCAATGGGATTGCTGAAAGAAAGAACCGTACCTTGAAAGAAATGGTCAATGCCATGATAATTAGTTCGGGTGTAAACCAGTCAATGTGGGGGGAAGCTATTTTGTCGGCTAACTATCTTTTAAATAAGATACCTCGCAAAGAAAAGAATGAAACACCGTATGAACTTTGGATGGGAAGAAAGCCATCGTATAAGTACTTACGAGTGTGGGGGTGCCTAGCTAAAGTTGTAGTGCCACCACCTAAGGTACAAAAGTTAGGGCCTAAAACAGTGGATTGTGTATTCATTGGGTATGCACAAAGTAGTAGTGCTTATCGGTTTCTTGTGCATGATTCTAAGAATCCTGAAATACACAAGAATACCATAATGGAATCAAGGAATGCTTCATTCTTTGAAGATGTGTTTCCCTGTTTGAACAAGGAAGTTGAAAGCCCATCTTTACCAAACAACGAAGCTGTTCGAGAGGAAGAACAAGCTCAATCCGAGGAGGAAGAGATAGAACCCAGAAGAAGTAAGAGGGCTAGAGTTGAAAAATCATTTGGTGATGATTTCTTCACCTATGTGGTGGAAAGTGAACCTAAAACCTACCAAGAGGCGGTAACTTCTTCTGAGGGACCTCAATGGAAAGAAGCCATCAAAAATGAGGTAGAATCTATCTTACAAAATCACACATGGGAACTAGTGGATCTACCTCCAGGTAGCAAGCCACTAGGTTACCGTTGGATTTTTAAGAGAAAGATGAAACCTGATGGCAGTATTGATAAATACAAGGCAAGACTAGTAATCAAAGGTTATAGACAAAAGGAAGGTCTAGACTACTTTGATACCTATTCGCCGGTAACGCGGATAACATCCATTAGATTAGTTCTTGCCATTGCAGCTATCAGAAACTTGCAAGTTCATCAAATGGATGTAAAAACGGCTTTCCTAAATGGGGAGTTGGAAGAAGAAATTTATATGGAGCAACCTGAGGGCTTCATTGCCTCGGGACAAGAGAACAAGGTTTGTAAACTTGTTAAGTCTCTATATGGATTAAAACAAGCTCCTAAACAATGGCATCAAAAGTTTGATCAAGTCATGATAAGTGTAACTATGTGAAAAACACCACTCATGGTTATGTCATCTTGTGTTTGTATGTCGATGATATGCTTATCATTGGTAGTGATGACAAGATAATAAGATCCACGAAGGATATGTTGAAATCCAGGTTCGACATGAAAGATATGGGTTTAGCAGATGTGATTCTTGGAGTGAAGATCACAAGAACCCAAAGTGGTTTGATTTTAAGTCAAACACACTATGTGGATAAAATTCTTGAAAAATTTGCTAAGGGAGACACTAGCATAGCTAGAACTCCAATTGACACTAGTCAACATCTACGTAAAAATAGAGGTGATAGTGTTAATCAAGTGGAATATTCAAGAATTATTGGCAGTCTGATGTATCTAATGAGTTGTACCAGACCTGACTTAGCATATGCTGTGAGCAGACTAAGTAGATACACCAGTAAACCCAGTTCTGAACACTGGAAGAGTATTACTAGGTTGCTGAGGTATGTGAGATACACGCGAGAATATGGACTGCATTATGGCAGACATCCAGCAGTTATCGAAGGATACACAGATGCAAATTGGATATCTGACATAAAAGATTCCAGATCTACAAGTGGATATGTGTTTACACTTGGAGGTGCTGCTGTAGCATGGAAATCATCCAAGCAAACAGTTATATCTAGATCCACGATGGAATCTGAATTTATCGCCTTAGATATTTGTGCTGAAGAGGCGGAGTGGCTACGTCAATTCGTAGAGGACATTCCCGAATGGCCTAAGCCGGTAACGGCCATATGTATACATTGTGATAACCAATCGGCAATTGGTAGAGCTCAAAGTACAATGTATAATGGGAAATCAAGGCACATTAGACGTAGACATAAAACGATACGACAACTAATCTCTACGGGGGTTATCACGGTTGACTGGGTGAAGTCAAAGGATAACATTGCGGATCCGCTTACAAAAGGCTTAAGTAGAGATGTAGTTTATAAGTCGTCAAGAGGAATGGGACTAAAGCCCATGAATGAATAAATTCATACGAAGGAAACCTTACCCAGAAGACTGGAGATCCCAAGATCTGGGTTCAAAAGGATAACCTAACTGTATGAGTGAGGCATGTCACTGCGGGGAGTTAACATGACTTCCTAGTCCATTCCTATATGTAGTGATAAAATTAGGCTAAACATATGGTTTTTAATGATTCTTGGAATCACCTATGTGAGAGAGAAGTGGGGTCGCTTCGAGGGGAATTATAGGGGCACAATTCCTAAAGCTCTTGCAGAACCAGGCTAGTGTTTATGACCAAAACGAACACGTCTATGAGGATATGACCTTGTCAGGGAGAATCCTGTGAGATTTACATTGTCGTCTACATAAATGGCAGCTTAGTTCAAAGACATCGAGATCTACTAACTGCTAGGAGATTAAGTGTAACTTCTTAAGGGAGGGTTCAAAGGGTAATACCTACCTATCCTATGCAGGATTCAACTGTTGAAAAATTCGTTTGGAAATTGGATGTGCAGAGATCGATCTCCATTCATGTGGGGGATTGTTGGAAATTTAGTATAAATATTTATATTTTTACTAACTTTGGACATATATAAATATATACATATGTTGTATATATAACGAACTCTAAGTGGGTTTGTGTTCTCCTCCATGAGGACTTCGAAACGATATATTATATGTCCAAAATAGAGTATAAGTGAATGAGATATCGATACTCAAAGATGGGTATTTGAGAATAAGTTTAGCAAAAGAGAGGAATGTGGGAATGAGTCCCACATTGGTAGAGAGACCAAACTCAACAAGGTTTATAAGCTTCATTGCATGGAAGGCTTACAAGCTTGTGTCTATGGTTATGCTACAATTCCTACCCGCGCGCAGGGGGGGTGCAAATCTTGGTTCCGTAGACCAAAAACACCGAACTCGTGCATGGACGCGACCTGCGGACACGAATGCAGCTCCGAAAACTCGGGCGCGCGCTACCCTCGTTTTTGCTAAACTTAACAGTTTTGGTCCCTATTTTTGAATTCTGTAACGGATGCATTAATTGCGTAATTAATGACATTTATTGCCATTAAACGCTCAATCAATTAGTGATTTGTTTCCGTTTCAAGATTCAACTATAAAAGAAGACCTTGGCCGTCTCATTCAAACACACGGATGGAAATACTCTTCTTCTTCCTCCTTCTCTGTACTCCTGCTTCCGGCGATTCTTTCAGGCAAGTCGTCATATCCGGCAGTACACAATACTGCTAAGGTTGTTGTACCCTGGGAACAGACGGCGAATCTGTTTAAGGGAATCGAGTCCAACTCGAGCCTCAGCCACATCGTTTGCTGCTAATCTCTTCATTACAGGAACCATTCTTAAGAGGAAAACGAAGACCCTATACTAACAGTCTTAAACAGATTATTCTTTGTTCTAACCATTTCATTTTTTCCTTTTCTTTTATTCTGAATCGATTTTGTATCGACTTTTTCCTGTAATCTATTTAACTGTGGTTACGATTCTTTCAGAATGTCTGGAACTCCCGCTGCTACTGGAACTCCTGCTGCTGGTGCTAACCCTCCTGTGAACCCAAATACACCAGTTCCAAACATCATGGCTAATCATGCTGAGAGACCTGAAAAATTTTCTGGTCTGAACTTCAAGAGGTGGCAACAGAAGATGTTGTTCTACTTGACCACCTTGAACCTGGCTCGATTCCTAACAGAAACTGCTCCTGTAATTGCTGAGGGGCAGGCTGATGCTCAATCTGTGAATGCAGTGGATGCATGGAAGCATTCAGAATTTCTGTGCCGCAACTATGTGTTGAATGGCCTGGCTGATGCACTTTACAATGTTTATTGTAAAGTTGCAACTGCTAAAGAACTATGGGAATCTTTGGAAAGGAAGTATAAGACAGAAGATGTTGGAACTAAGAAGCATGTTGTTGCTAAGTTCTTGGAATACAAAATGGTTGACTCGAAATCTGTTATGAGTCAAGTCCAAGACCTTCAGGTCATCATACATGATAACAATGCAGAAGGGATGGATCTTAATGAATCATTCCAAGTTGCATCAATGGTTGAAAAGCTCCCTCCTGGTTGGATAGACTTTAAAAATTACCTTAAGTATAAGCGAAAGGAGATGTCTGTGGAGGAACTGGTGGTGCGTCTTCGCATTGAAGAAGACAATAGAATGGCCTTGAAGAAAGGCAGTGAAGGTGAATCTTCTAAGGTTCATATGGTGGAAGCTGGTCAAACTTCCAAAAGCAAAGGCAGGGGACCTCACAAAGGGAAAGCAAAGGGCAAAAACCTAGGCCCCAAGGCAGGAACTTTCAAGAAGAAGTTCAAGTGCTACAACTGTGGCCAACCGGGTCACAAGGCTTCGGAGTGCCCTCAACCTAAGAGGGAAAACCGTCAAGCAAACATGGTGAATGATAACATGGAGTTGGTGGCCATGATAACTGATCTCACGGCTATGGTTTCTGAAGTGAATCTCATGAATACAAATTCAAAGGAGTGGTGGATTGACACGGGAGCTACTCGTCATGTGTGTCATGACAAGAGTGTTTTCAACACCTACAAAGAAGTTGAAGATGGTGAAAAGCTCTACATGGGAAATGCAGCTACCGCGGATATCAAAGGTGTTGGTGATGTCATTCTAAAAATGACTTCGGGGAAAGAAGTGAAGCTTAGGGATGTATTGTATGTTCCTGAACTTCGTAAGAATCTAGTGTCGGGTGGTTTGTTGAACCAATTTGGTTTTAAGCTAGTGTTTGAGTCGGACAAGTTTGTTTTGTCCAAGAATGGTATGTTTGTGGGAAAAGGATATGCCTTGAATGGCATGTTCAAATTGAATGTAATGGTGACAAACAAAATGAATAATGAAAGTTCTAGTTCTGCTTATTTGCTTGAGTGTTCAAATGTTTGGCATGGTCGCTTAGGACATGTAAATTACAATTCAATTAAGCGATTAATTAAACTAGAATACATACCAAAACTTAATATTGACTCAAATCACAAATGCCCCACATGTGTTGAAGCCAAACAAACTAGATTGTCTTTCCAAACAATCAAAAGAAACACCGAACCTCTTGATTTAATTCACACTGATGTGTGTGATCTAAAGTCAATTCCTACTCAAGGTGGGAACAAATACTTCATTACATTCATCGATGATAGCACGAAATATTGCTACATATATTTACTTAAGAGTAAAGATGAAGCAATAGACAAGTTTGTCTTGTACAAAAATGAAGTTGAGAATCAACTCAACAAGAGAATTAAAGTGGTTAGAAGTGATAGGGGTGGGGAATATGTTTCTCCATATGCTGATTTTTGTGCTAAAAATGGAATTCGTCATGAATTCACATCACCCTATTCACCTCAATCCAATGGGATTGCTGAAAGAAAGAACCGTACCTTGAAAGAAATGGTCAATGCCATGATAATTAGTTCGGGTGTAAACCAGTCAATGTGGGGGGAAGCTATTTTGTCGGCTAACTATCTTTTAAATAAGATACCTCGCAAAGAAAAGAATGAAACACCGTATGAACTTTAGATGGGAAGAAAGCCATCGTATAAGTACTTACGAGTGTGGGGGTGCCTAGCTAAAGTTGTAGTGTCACCACCTAAGGTACAAAAGTTAGGGCCTAAAACAGTGGATTGTGTATTCATTGGGTATGCACAAAGTAGTAGTGCTTATCGGTTTCTTGTGCATGATTCTAAGAATCCTGAAATACACAAGAATACCATAATGGAATCAAGGAATGCTTCATTCTTTGAAGATGTGTTTCCCTATTTGAACAAGGAAGTTGAAAGCCCATCTTTACCAAACAACGAAGCTGTTCGAGAGGAAGAACAAGCTCAATCCGAGGAGGAAGAGATAGAACCCAGAAGAAGTAAGAGGGCTAGAGTTGAAAAATCATTTGGTGATGATTTCTTCACCTATGTGGTGGAAAGTGAACCTAAAACCTACCAAGAGGAGGTAACTTCTTCTGAGGGACCTCAATGGAAAGAAGCCATCAAAAATGAGGTAGAATCTATCTTACAAAATCACACATGGGAACTAGTGGATCTACCTCCAGGTAGCAAGCCACTAGGTTACCGTTGGATTTTTAAGAGAAAATGAAACCTGATGGCAGTATTGATAAATACTGCTAAGGTTGTTGTACCCTGGGAACAGACGGCGAATCTGTTTAAGGGAATCGAGTCCAACTCGAGCCTCAGCCACATCGTTTGCTGCTAATCTTTTCATTACAGGAACCATTCTTAAGAGGAAAACGAAGACCCTATACTAACATGAAGTTCTCACGATTCTCATGGTATATGGTTTTCTTTCTTTTTAATTTCTTTATTATAGGTTTAGAATTGTATTATTATTTTTTATGATTTAATTATTTGTAGTGTTTAACTCTTTGTTAGTACACATGTTTCATTATTTTTATAATTTACACTTATATCAACAAACAACTTGAAAATTGTGATATTCGAATTTTGTTAAACTTTTATTCGATTATATTGCAATATGTTTTTTGTATTCAAAATTCAGGTCTGCCTATGATTTTGTATTAAGAAATTATTAGCAATGTAGACTTTTTTTGTTGATAAAGTTTTCGATTTTGTTGATATGTGACTTTTACTTCCATAAGAAATGGCAACTAATATCAAGTATTAGCTGTTTTGTTTTCTTTTATTGGCCTTGCCATGTAGCAAAGAGCTCAGGCGGATTCGGCTTTTTGACACCAAATCTGTAGAATCGATCTTTTTTGTTGTCTCGGAACTGCAAGAGGTTACTGGAGATATATATCGTTCACCGGTGGATGCTTGCCGAAATTTCTGCAGAAAAGTTAGGAAAAATAGTGGTTTTGGGAACTCGGAGATCGAGGAAGAAGAGACACAAAACTGCCTTGACCACTATTTTTGTGATAAAACAGTAAAGGTGTGTGATTACTGATTCAATAAACCTCCGTCATTTATGAAAATCAAGGTTTTTTGTAAAATTAATTATTAACGTTGTATATATAATGGTTTGGCAGGTTGCTGGAGATGTGTGTGTGACATTCTATGAAAAGAACATTGGGGGTCGTCTCTTCTATGTTTGCTTTAACACCGGGTTTATTGAAAATGACTTGATACAGGTACTTAATTTAATCGATCTTGTTAGGTTCGAATGTTGGAAATAAATCTATGATTGGTTTTTAATTTTAAGATTTTTGATCTTCTTTTTCAGTTTTCGATAGCAGAATTTGATAAAGTTGTAATCGATCTTGTTAGGTTCGAATGTTGGAAATAAATCTATGATTGGTTTTTAATTTTAAGATTTTTGATCTTCTTTTTCAGTTTTCGATAGCAGAATTTGATAAAGTTGGAACTAAGAGCAATTCTATAGCAGGTTCGGAGTTCCGATTGGAGATGCTTTTTAGTCCGGCGAACGATAAACCTAATGACTCATAGCAAAGTAGAGATCGTTTTTGTTTTTTATAATGTTTTCTTTGTCAATTTTTGTTTCTAACTTTTTTGGGGTTTTAAAGTTAATTTTGCTACATTTTAATGTTTGTGATTCACTTAGTTAATTTGCTGCTATTTGACAAGAAAAATGTAAGCAACGTGACATTTTTGACAATAAATATAAATATATCCGTTTGATGTATATCTTGTGATAAAGTATAGGTGTGGTGTTGTCTTTACATAAATGTGATAAAATATAGGTGTGGTGTTGTCTTTTAAAAAGAAAAGTCATTTGTTGTTTGGAGTTAAAATATCATATTACTTGTTTTTAAAATATCGAATTTACAAAAATCCAATTTTTAATCATTTTTAAAAAATCAATATAATTATATAATTAGTAAATCTAAATTCCATAATATCATCTTTCTCAATTGTTGGAATAGTTTGACTCTGATATCACAAGCCAATGCCATACATACCTGGAATTTCATAGAAATATATAGAGCCAAATCATATGCAATGGTTGTAGCCTTATTGGAGCATTTTTCTTTATGCAATAGGAGCTTCTAATGTGTGCTACATTTTGTAATGTTCTTACCTCGGTTCCTCCCCTGGTTAGATTTATCAATAAACTGAAGTAGTACTTTGAGCAATTATTGAATTAATATTATACATAAATTATGGCAAAGTAAAGCTATTCCCTTTTGCCCTTTTTCTTGATATTTTTATACTACATGAATATTCAACAATAATCACCAGGTAGGTTGTTTCTGGAAAAACTCAAGGTCTGCTACATCAGTCTAGGAACGCATAAACAACTATCTGCGAGCTAAATGGGATAGAAATGTAGAAGAAAAACATCTATACATAAAACACATGATAAACACTGATTTTGAAGGATACACGTTAATATTGTATAAGTGCCAATCCTATAAATTTATGTGGTCACATATGCTAATTTTTCTAAGTCTGTTTAATCAATCTCTAATATATTAGTCATAGATACTTTTTTTTTTTTTTTTTGTAATAGTAGTAGTAGATTTTTTGCTATCTTGTTAAAAAAAACATGTTTGAAGTGTCATCTTTTTACCAACATGCCTTGCTTTTTTCTTTTTAAGATTTGATTTTTTTAATATATATATATATATATATATATATATATATATATATATATAGGTTCAAATGTTTCTAGCAACTATTGTGTTCTTTAATGCACCAATCAGAAATTAGTAAATAATTAAAAAAATAATAAATTAAATAATTAAATATAAGGGTATAATAGTAATCTATACTATAACTAATTATGGTAAAAATACCAAATCAATTAATATCCCCTTAAATTAGGTTATCAGTTTCACAACCCTATAAAACCACAAATCATTCCCCCTCTTTTGCAAAAAACCATCGATCAAAACCCTATGGATACTATCATTGTCTACAGGAGACAAAATCCAAAACAAGAGACGATCGACTAATATTTATTTAAATGGCATCAAACACTTTTTGGGTGTATTCATAAAAGTTTGTGACCAACATAGTTTATTATTTCTTCATCAAAGTTTGGCAACGTCATCTCCTTTTGCCGGCACCTTTATCACTGAAGTGTTGGAAATTTAGTATAAATATTTATATTTTTGTACACATTTAGGTAACGAACTTGTTGAATTTACTCTTACTTTTCGTTTTGTTCATGTTTGGATAACTTTTTTTTTGTACACACTTAGGTAACGAACTTGTTGAAAGTGTTTACATATGATCATTGTAACCGGATGTAACCTGCAACAACAGGTCATAATGGTCATATGTAAACACTTCCAAAAAGTTCGTTACCTAGATGTGTACAAAAAATAATAATAAAATAATTACCTAGATGTGATCAAACCGAAAAATTAATTATCTTAATAAGTCATATTCCCTATTTCCTTGTATCCTATGTTTTGTGCATCTCTAATCGTAACACCCGGGAAAAAAGCACTGGAATTATATGTAAATTCCAATAGTTGAGGGCTAAACTTGGAAGAGGAAATAAAGGTGGGGTGCAAAAGTGAAAATTATAAAAAACTAAAGAAGAGAATATAGGAAATCGATTTGTACTCTAATTGTAATATATCAGTTATATTTCCTTGTATTGTAAGTTTTGAATTGTGAATTTGTGATAAACGATGAGAGATTAAATCATATTTGGAAATATCAGGAGATAAAGATATACATACAAAGAGATATAAATACGAATCCCTAATCTTATATATACCAACAATCTTAAATAGCCGTATCGTACTCCTATCGCACAAAGACTCAGAAGAACGAAGAGGAAACAAGAAACTTAAGGTTAAGTTTCAGTATCAGGTAATCTCAACTTTACATCTTCGAATGTTTACGTTCTTTTAAGAATTATGAATATAGTATGTTCTTTTAAGAATTATGAGTGTAGGATAAAAAGTTTTGACTATGTTTCGTAGATTGAGACTACGACCAAACCCCAAAGAAAACATAGAAAACATAGAAGATTTACGAAAAATATAAAGAAGATTTTTGCCATTGAGTTGAAGTTAACAATCAAACGGGTCAATGTGTATATACAGAAGAAGAGCAAAATATCTATATATATTATAAATTATACGACGTAATAGAAGCTTCAGTTGTGTAGGGTTGATTGTGTATTATGTTGATTTTTAACTAATATATTTTGATTTTTGCATATAGTTTAGTATTTTTTACAACAAAAAAATGGGTGTGAAAGTTTCAAGACTCCTAACAAGACAACAAAAGAAAAGGCGGGTGGTGGTGGTTGGTGGTGGTAGCTATGAGCTTGATATGTCTTATATCACAAATCGCATTTTAGCAATGTCATTTCCAGCCGAGCTAATGAGAGCTATGTATCAAAATCCTATGATACAAGTCAAGGCGTTTTTGCAAAAAAAGCATCCTCGACATTACAAGGTAAAAAAATTAGTTATTATATTCGATTTATCTTGTTATATTTGGTTGACCATATCATTCGAATGAAAATTTCAGATGAATTTTTTATCTTATATGTAAACAGGAATGTATACACTATTTATATTATTTAATAATAGTTATAAATTTTATTATTTAGAAAGCATAAAATTAAGCCAAACATTACAATAAAGAAAATATGTGCTGGTTAATTTTGTAAGAAGATTATGATTTTATAATCATCATGAAATTCTTAAAAAAGTTGTCTAATTAAAAATTCTACAAATAAAAAATTGGATTGTATTATAACTTTTCATTCATTCGATTCCATAGAAAAAGAAAACATTATGTTGTGTTTTTTCTAGATTTAGATAGTGTCAATTTTAAGTAACGACTTTACAACGTTTTTACCAATTTATAAAGTCATATTTACTTACCAATTTGTGTAATATTGGTAAAAACTTTTATTTACAGAAACCTGTATTAATTGGTAAGTAAGAAATCAAATTACTGTTTCTTACTTTTTTTTCTACCTTGTAGGTCTATAATTTATGTACAGAGCAAGCTTATGATCCATCTCTTTTTAATAATCTTGTGGAAAGATTTCCGTTTGATGATAATCATGCCCCATCGATACAAATGATCAAGGGATTCTGTGAAAGTGTCCATTCATGGCTTTCAAGTGACCCAAAGAATGTTGTCTTCATCCACTGCATGGTAAATATATTCTCAAAATTCTATACTTCGTGGAATTCTTTATATTCATGTAAATTATTTATTGATATAAAAAACTAAAAAGTAAAGTATTTTTTAAAATTCAACAGGCGGGTAAAGGTCGAATAGGGTTGATGGTATCATGTTACTTGGTTTACGTCCGCATGTTGGCAGAAGAGGCTCTTCCTGTTTATGCAGATAAAGGGTCCACAAATTATCTTCGAGTAAGTTTTATATTTACTTTGTCTTCCAATATTTATGATAATGAAAATCTTCAAGGAAAGTATAACCATATTAAATATGGAAATGGTGGCAGGTGATGACACCAAGCCAACGGCGTTACGTCAACTATTGGCAGAGATCTCTTACCTTTCCAGATGGCTGTTTACCAGAGGTCAGCCTTCCAAAACCATGTAGCAAAGAGCTCAGGTGGATTCGGCTTTTTGACACCAAATCTGTAGAATCGATCTTTTTTGTTGTTTCGGAACTGCAAGAGGTTACAGGAGATATATATCGTTCACCGGTGGATGCTTGCCGAAATTTCTGCAGAAAAGTTAGGAAAAACAGTGGTTTTGGGAACTCGGAGATCGAGGAAGAAGAGACACAAAACTGCCTTGACCACTATTTTTGTGATAAAACAGTAAAGGTGTGTGATTACTGATTCAATAAACCTCCGTCATTTATGAAAATCAAGGTTTTTTGTAAAATTAATTATTAACGTTGTATATATAATGGTTTGGCAGGTTGCTGGAGATGTGTGTGTGACATTCTATGAAAAGAACATTGGGGGTCGTCTCTTCTATGTTTGCTTTAACACCGGGTTTATTGAAAATGACTTGATACAGGTACTTAATTTAATCGATCTTGTTAGGTTCGAATGTTGGAAATAAATCTATGATTGGTTTTTAATTTTAAGATTTTTGATCTTCTTTTTCAGTTTTCGATAGCAGAATTGGATAAAGTTGGAACTAAGGGCAATTCTATAGCAGGTTCGGAGTTCCGATTGGAGATGCTTTTTAGTCCGGCGAACGATAAACCTAATGACTCATAGCAAAGTAGAGATAGTTTTTGTTTTTTATAATGTTTTCTTTGTCAATTTTTGTTTCTAACTTTTTTGGGGTTTTAAAGTTAATTTTGCTACATTTTAATGTTTGTGATTCACTTAGTTAATTTGCTGCTATTTGACAAGAAAAATGTAAGCAACGTGACATTTTTGACAATAAATATAAATATATCCGTTTCATGTATATCTTGTGATAAAGTATAGGTGTGGTGTTGTCTTTACATAAATGTGATAAAATATAGGTGTGGTGTTGTCTTTTAAAAAGAAAAGTCATTTGTTGTTTGGAGTTAAAATATCATATTACTTGTTTTTAAAATATCGAATTTACAAAAATCCAATTTTTAATCATTTTTAAAAAATCAATATAATTATATAATTAGTAAATCTAAATTCCATAATATCATCTTTCTCAATTGTTGAAATAGTTTGACTCTGATATCACAAGCCAATGCCATGCATACCTGGAATTTTATAGAAATATATAGAGCCAAATCATATGCAATGGTTGTAGCCTTGTAGGAGCATTTTTCTTTATGCAATAGGAGCTTCTAATGTGTGCTACATTTTGTAATGTTCTTACCTCGGTTCCTCCCCTGGTTAGATTTATCAATAAACTGAAGTAGTACTTTGAGCAATTATTGAATTAATATTATACATAAATTATGGCAAAGTAAAGCTATTCCCTTTTGCCCTTTTTCTTGATATTTTTATACTACATGAATATTCAACAATAATCACCAGGTAGGTTGTTTCTGGAAAAACTCAAGGTCTGCTACATCAGTCTAGGAACGCGTAAACAACTATCTGCGAGCTAAATGGGATAGAAATGTAGAAGAAAAACATCTATACATAAAACACATGATAAACACTGATTTTGAAGGATACACGTTAATATTGTATAAGTGCCAATCCTATAAATTTATGTGGTCACATATGTTAATTTTTCTAAGTCTGTTTAATCAATCTCTAATATATTAGTCATAGATGCTTTTTTTTTTTTTTTTGTAATAGTAGTAGTAGATTTTTTGCTATCTTGTAAAAAAAAACATGTTTGAAGTGTCATCTTTTTACCAACATGCCTTGCTTTTTCTTTTTAAGATTTGATTTTTTTATATATATATATATATATATATATATATATATATATATATATATATATATATGTTCAAATGTTTCTAGCAACTATTGTGTTCCTTAATGCACCAATCAGAAATTAGTAAATAATTAAAAAAATAATAAATTAAATAATTAAATATAAGGGTATAATAGTAATCTATACTATAACTAATTATGGTAAAAATACCAAATCAATTAATATCCCCTTAAATTAGGTTATCAGTTTCACAACCCTATAAAACCACAAATCATTCCCCCTCTTTTGCAAAAAACCATCGATCAAAACCCTACGGATACTATCATTGTCTACAGGAGACGAAATCCAAAACAAGAGACGATCGACTAATATTTATTTAAATGGCATCAAACACTTTTTGGGTGTATTCATAAAAGTTTGTGACCAACATAGTTTATTATTTCTTCATCAAAGTTTGGCAACGTCATCTCCTTTTGCCGGCACCTTTATCACTGAAGTTCTCACGATTCTCATGGTATATGGTTTTCTTTCTTTTTAATTTCTTTATTATAGGTTAGAATTGTATTATTATTTTTTATGATTTAATTATTTGTAGTGTTTAACTCTTTGTTAGTACACATGTTTCATTATTTTTATAATTTACACTTATATCAACAAACAACTTGAAAATTGTGATATTCGAATTTTGTTAAGCTTTTATTCGATTATATTGCAATATGTTTTTTGTATTCAAAATTCAGGCCTGCCTATATGATTTTGTATTAAGAAATTATTAGCAATGTAGTCTTTTTTTGTTGATAAAGTTTTCGATTTTGTTGATATGTGACTTTTACTTCCATAAGAAATGGCAACTAATATCAAGTATTAGCTGTTTTGTTTTCTTTTATTGACCTTGCCATGTATATGCTTCAGTTTAGCATAATAGCATATACATATCTCCCCTTCATATTTATTTTTTATGTATGCTTTTATTTTATTGCCCTAATTATTCTATGAAAAAACATCATAAATGGTCCTTATGGTTACCCAAAATCTGAAGTTTAGTCCCCGTGGTTTAAAAACCTCATAGATGGTCCCTGTGCTTTCAAAACTTTTGACGATTGGTCCTTAATGCTAACTCTGTTAAGTTTTGTCCGTTAACTGAAGGGCATTTACGTCATTTCACTACCACAAGGACCATTTATGATGTTTTGTCTTATTTAAAAAAAAAAGAAATAATATGTAAAGTCTCTCTCTCTCTCTCTCTCAACCCATTGAGATGAAGATCTTGGGACGAACCCTATGAAGATATGGGTTCAGATTCATCATACAAACATATCTCTTTGTAACACCCCAATAACACAAAATCAAAAACCAATAAAGCCAAGAAAGCAGATTTATGGGTTTGTTCTTCAACATACACACACTCAAGAACACAAAATTTGAATCACATATTTGCTTTTGTGGGTTTTCGCTTTACACACACATGATTCTGAATCTTAAAACCGATTACATCAAGTCTGAAAAAAAATCGATTTTCTGGGTTTGTTCCTGAAGGGTTTTCAAGAATAATCGTTTTTCTAGGTTTGTTTCTGGAAATAAAAATCAAATTTTGAATAGGAAAAAAACATATAGACTTTCAAGAACAGTCGATTTCTAAAAATCACCAGATGGAGGAGACGAACACAAACTGACGTGCAGACTTCCGTTGCTCTGGTTTGTGAGCCGGACAACAACCACGACGACATCTGTAGCTCCAGCGATTGTGGTAGCGACGCCAATTGTGTGTTTGTTCTGTTATGTTCTTCACCGGCGCCGACAGTTGGGATTCCTTCAAGGGTTTTCTGAAACTCCATATGTTCTTGTCTTTGCACTCACCTGAATGGAAATTCTGAGAGAGAGACAACGAGAGATTTCTAAATCGATTCAACTATAAGATCATTCAACTGATTTATCCCATAATAAAGATCCTACATCGAATTTGGACTCCATCTCTAGAACCCCTACAATCCCCGATTTGACTGAACCAAACCCAATTTAGGGTTCATATGCCAAATCAATATATCAATAAATTTTGCCTTATAAATTCAGTTTAGTACTGTCATATCTAATGTCATATCTAATTGTTCATCAGTACAAGATCGTTGAGGAGTTATTTTGATGCTAAATCCAAAAAATATTGGTGCAAGTTGGGATATTATCAAAATGGTCCGGAATGTCGATACAGACACACAAAGATACCACAACCTTCTTCTTCGGTGGAAGAAATACTCCAAAAGATTCAGCAGCTAACAAACTACATTAATTTTCTTAATTTTATATGTGTATACGTTAAAGAAAAGAAGTTACAAAACAAGATGAAGATTTAGTCGAGAGAGAGAGAGAGTGTGTGTAAGGGTCGAAGACATGTTGTAATATGTCGAAGTCTTAAATTTATTTTACAAGGCACATTTGTAACGAAGCTTACTGTTCAGTCCTTGTAATTTTTTGTGTGCTTTCATGTTTCCTATAAATAGGGACATTACTTAGAGTTAGATAAGAGAGTCTTGTACGAACTTGTCTAGTTTTCTCTCTGTAACATTTGAAAGCATAATAGAGCTGAATCAAGATCATATTTACATCGTGTGTTCAATTTCATATTTGTTACTCTGATTTGTTACATTTTCGATTCATCACATCATCAATTGGTATCAGAGCAGGAATCATAATCTGCGATCTGATTTTCACTTTGATTCAAAAGGTTTTTGAATCAAATTTCTGGTTTAAAAAGTTCCGCACCTTTTGACGTGAAAAAGTTTTCTATATCTTCAGTTGTGATTTGATTCTGCAACTGATTTGTTGAATCGAGTGTTCTACTTGATTTCTCTGATCAATTCAGCAATTTGCTTTCAATTTCTCTTGGATTTCTCAAAAAATTTCTTCCGTACATCAATGGCGAACTTTAATCTCAACTCGATGACTTCATACTCTCATCTGCTAGGATCTTCAACGAAGATTCCTATGCTCATTCCAGAATACTATGATCAGTGGTCTGATCGTATGCAATATTACTTGAATGGACTCGATGAAGAGCTTTGGTCTTGCATCTCTGGGAATGTTACTCTTCCGACAAATCTTCAACCAATTGGATCTTCGTCTAGTACTACGAGTGTGGATGTTTAAACTGATCGAATGAAGAAACTTGAAAAACGATGCATAAGGGAGTTACGCGGTGCATTGCCTCCAGTTGTGTATAACTATGTCAGGAGTTGTACAACTGCAAAAGAAATCTGGAATAATCTCTCAAGGTAGCGAGAAGACAAAAATCAATTCAGTTAAGCATTGTTTAATCGAATTGAAGGATTTCAAGCAAAAGGATGGTGAAACAATCGAAAGTTACTATGATAGGCTGAATGAGTTGATTTACAAATGCAATCGTTATGGAATCACGAGGTCTGCTATGGAGTTCAATCTCACATTCGTCATGGGACTCCGTAAAGAATGGAGGAGTGTTAGTATGATGGTGAAAAATCAACAGAGTTTCGACACATCTTCTCTAAATGATTTGTACAATCAACTGAAAACTCACGAAAGTGAAGTGAATGAAATGGCTGAAGAGTCGAAGCTTAGCTTGGGAGGTCCATTGGCATTTGTCTCTAAAGTGTCTGAAAAGGAAGCAGTCGAAAAAGGTGATTCTGATGATGAAGAAGGGTTTATCATGAATTCTAATGATGAGAAAATAGCTTTTTACTCGAACAACCGAGTCAAAAAGTTTTTCAAGAAACCTTTTAATCCAAAAGTGAAGCAAAGTAAGGGTAAAGGAAGTTTTGTGAACAAGGCTGGTGGAGAGGAGAAGAAGAAGTATGAGAAGAATGATGGGAAGGTTGCTGAGGAAAAGAAAGAGAAGAAACTCAAAAGAGATTCGGGTATGGATTGC